CGGTGTGTGAGAGAGTGTGTGACTGACCTAGGCAATCACACTGCCCACATCATCCCACTCATCTACACCCACCACACCTCGTTTTCCCCTCGTCTTTGCTCTTCCACCCTCCGTCTCATCCATACGAGCAACCGAGTTTTTCTTGCTTTGTAATAACCAAAGAAAAAAAACTTTTTCTGTCTTGTCGTAAAAAAAAAAAAAAAGTGACGACAAGTTGTAAAACGCCCCCTAGCCAGATTTCGTTGTGTAGTAGGGAAAGACATGCTTCCTAATCCGGACATATCTTGAGATCTGTCCTGGTATGTCTCACCTGGCGGGCGGTGCGGAGAAGACAGGAGACAGGATCATTCTTTTTAGGGTTGTTCAAACTAGTTAGGATATCATCACATCAATGTACTTCATAATACCAAAAAAGAAAACCGGGAGTTCACACCAACGGTAACCGATGTGAGCCAATGCCAATTCTCTCGGAGAGGGGGAGGAAGGGGTCGGTGTGTACAGTGTCTCGTGGTAGGCCTCCCTCTACTCCGATCCCTCTCAATATCTTGCCAAGAGGATCTAATACCTCACTTCCCATCTCAGATCGGATGTTTTTGAGCGATGAGGAGCCAGCAGCAGCAGCAGCAGCAGCAGGAAGCAGACGTGTTGTAAGTATAGATCAGGACCTGTCAGTTGTAAGAACAGCCCAACCTCACAGACCCTAGGCCTTTCAGCCGCAAGGCCCTCGCCAGCAGTTTTCGTCACTTTATAGGTTGGGATTCTTGCAGGTTCCGAGCTCCGGTCCGGTTTTTCCAAGTCAGCCCCCGCAGCCTTGGATACCGGTGACTCGATCTCACAGCTCCAAGTCATCCATCATGGGGTGGGTTCCAGGTTCTTAGACTGCTAGACTGCCAGACGTGCAGCGCCCAGTAATAACCATTAGGCTGGGAAAATCCACCAAGAAAAGGTAGAAAAGAAAACGAAACGAATGGGGTGATATGCGGTACCAGGTTCGTGAAATCACCAAGAAAACGAATCGATTGGCTGAGGTACGTCCCAGCCCACCGATCCTGGAGAGGTAGGTGTTGAACTGCAACCCTCCAATGGTATGGCGTCGTCACCGACTCCCGGTCCGGTGGTCGCGGTGGTGATCATCAGAGGGTTCCGTCTCTGGGTCTCTGGGGTCTCTGGGGTCTCTGGGGGTGGTGGTTCGCGTGAGTCCTCAATTGCTTGGTAAACTCCCAACTGTATATCCGTAATGTAATCCGCAGACAGTAGTGTAATATGTACCCCTGTCGACTACCTTTCAACCTGGTGTATGTCTCTCGGCGGCCCCCTGGACCGACCGGGCTTTCCGTGCGCCGTTTGGCTGACGGTGAGTGGTGACAGGTGCTGGCGGCCCCTGGGCACCGACAATCTCACCCCCTACTGAAGGCTGCTGTTCGCTTTGCTGCGCTCTCATTTGCTGCTTTACTTTGACACGGCACTTGGGGAACGGCCGCACCGACGTCAGCCTCCGTGTCAGCCAATCACGCCGCCCAGAGCATCCCGTCCTGCAGACTGCTCCGCCAGCCGAGGGTGGGGCTCTCTTTCGAGCAAGTCGCACCTCCGAGCCGAACCCCTGTCTGTTCGGTCTGCTACGGCATGCAGCCCTACGGGGCCTTACCTGGAACGTGCACTCATCCGCGCGCGGGGGACAATGCTCTCATCTACCCATAGGTAGTCTCATCGGACTGGACTGAGACGGAGGGATCAGAGACGGTTGACATCAATCTTGTTTACACTTTTTATTAGCATCGATCGATAGTCTCTCTCTCTCCGTCACTCTGCCTGTCTCTGCGTGTATGTACTTACTTCCCTGCTGCGGGTGGCATTGACAGGGTGCAACGATCCCTTCTGAATGGCCGAGGCATCTCGGAGCATCTCACACATACGAATGCACACAATCGGTGCTAAATCACGCTCACTTTCCTCTTCCAGCCTGTCTCGCCCACTGATTTGCGTTCGTGGCCTTGTCTTCCAAGGTTTGGGTTTTGTAAAAAGGAATGTCCTAGATATCGGTTAGATTCCACTCCTCGTGTAAGGGGAAACGAGCAAAGATGGCCTCATCACCTTTGCTTCCACCCAACCTACTCATTTACCAGATGTTACTGGTATCGCATCTCGGCTGCAACTCACCCGGCGCAATCTACCCGCACCATGCCTGAGACCACGACAAGAACGGGCATCGCATTCGTTGATCGTCTCGGGGCCGCCTGACTGCATACCGCAGCCGCAGTCGTCTTATTCGTCCCGGGGCGAACCAGACCATGTGTGATTCCCGCGCCCTTGGTCCCGTCTCATACGTTGTCGCGGTCCACCTTCGGTAGTAAGGCTGCATCACACCATCAACTGGCTCCCGCGAGGGGGGCTTGTTTGAAGCCAAGTGTATGGCCTACCTTGGGTCCCACAGCCTCTCCGGTAATGGCCAACGTAAGAAGCTCACTGATCCGCGCCCTCCTCTCAGTCTTGGGGGCCGTTTGATGCCTGCTTCCCCCTTGCGGCTCCCCATTGTGATATATATCGACCGTCCAGTACGTCTTCTTCCCTGTTCGTCTTGACGAGAGAGTATCATCGGTTATGGTCATTCTGTCTTTGCAATAACCTGTCTCTCACCAAAACGTCCGAGTTGTCAACATGGTTGGAGTCCGCGGCAAGTACAAGGGATGCGAGACATGCAGGGCTCGAAGAGTCAAGGTAAGCACTCTAAAGGCGTTTCGACAGCAAAAAAAAACGCCCCCCGCGGGCTGACATGTCAACGGTTAGTGCGATAACGAACGGCCACACTGCCGCAAGTGTATCGATAGCGGCCGCGAATGTGCTGGCTACGAACGAGAAATGGTCTTCATCACCGCAACCATAGACGACGCAGGCCGCTGCTCATCACACCCGCCCCGCCAAGTCCAGTCGTCTTCTTCCAGGGGTTCTAGGAGAAGCCAAACCGTGGACGAGGTTCCTCGCTTGGTACCGACAGAACCGTTGATGCCGGCATGGGATGATTTGGTCTCCGTATCCGACAACGGTGTCGTATACTCAATACAGATCGCGGCATTGCACACCAGGTTCCAGAACATCCTAAGGGGACCCGAAGGGCAAAGCCAAGTAAAGTTCCGGATGGCCCTACCGCCATACTCACCAGTTGATATGGAGACATGGGATAACGGCGGCAACATGGACCTAAATGCGCAGAACATGGTCAGTCTGCTGCCATCAGGGAATGACAACGGAGCCCCCGAAGGTCTTTGCGTATTTTTATTCGAGGTGAGATGCCAGTTGGTCGTCGCGGAAGAGCGTGTGCTGACTATCCTTGTAGCAAAATCCATCCTTTTTGGTGACCAACGGCATGACACCCTGGGGTGTCCCCCAAGAGCATATGGACGTCGTCAAGAAGCTTGGACCGGAACAATTTCGTCAATTCCCAGCCCACCACTATTTCGTCAGGGTATATAGGTGTAATGCTGTAAGATACGCGTCGTTGGCCCTGCGGATGAACTAAAAAGCTGACTTGGTGTCAAGATCATACTCGCTCTCTTACACCGAAAGACGACGTTTCTTTCTTCATTCGAATGGTGCACTACACCGTGGGAACAGCACCCCAAGACGTTTCTCGACAGGCTCTTTGACATCATCGCCGGGTTGCCTGGCATCTTCTCTCGCGTCGACCGAACGGTACCCTTTGCTGCAACCTTGCAGCGTCGATTAAAGGCACAGGAACTGTTGGAGAGCTGCTTGGAAATCGAACGGAGGCTGGAGGAGTGGGAGTCGTACGCCCGCGCGCCTACTGCCGAGCACCCGTATGCGTACTGGATAGAAGAGCCGGATGATCCAGATGCGCAGCAGCTACCCTTTGCAGACAACTTTGCCTTCAAGGACGGTGTGTCGTCCGTCATGTTCCTGTACCACTGGATGACACTGCTGCTCCTCCACCGCTGCATCGAGTGCCTGCACCACACCATTTTCCAGCCTGTCATCGAGGACTTTCCCAACATGTACCCGGATCTGCCTCCGAATCTGCAGATCAACCTGGGGAGGTACCAACAGAGGCGGGAGTTTGCGTCAAGAATCTGCAGGGCACTCGACTTTGCGCTGTCGACAACAGTTCAGCCGGACATGTTGGTTGCACCACTAGCCGTGGCCATGGAGTTCTATCGCGAGATCAATGCGTCGTCAAGAGACGGCGAGCTCGAGATTATGTGGTGCGAGAGCTTCAGGCTGCGTTTGACCTCCAAAGGTCACGATATTGCCAACGTTCTGCAGAGCAGATCATGGGCCGACATTGCCAGGTTCTGAGCCAGCTGGCTACTCGCTCCGTCTGCCTGACGATTGAAAAGGGGAGTAACGGGTCCAATCAAAACATGGTGGAAGGTATGAATTGGCGCAGGCGCATTGCATTTCTGAGAGTATCAAAATCGAGAGCGCTGGACATTTGACGTTCGACCTCATGTTGAGGATATCGGTGGACTGCCACCCCATATCCTGCCATGTATTGTTAATATTGTGATGGAAAACTAAAAGGTGTGTTGTAGAAGCCGATCTTCAACGAAATCTAGAGATGTCAAAAGAACATTGCAGCCCATCTAGATTGTAGTTCAGGAACGAGTAAAATGTTACGCACGGGAACATGTAATTCAGAAGGTGCTCATTTACATACAACCTGGACGTTGCTGCTTGCCTGAGCTTCTGGCGGGTGTGATACGGATAGGCGCACAGACCTCTAAGCTCGAGTGACCATTACCCGGACTTTCCCCGGCCCTGCAGGAGCTCCTGGAGCTTTTCAGCCTTTCCCACGCCAGCAGGCGCCAAAGCTTCGTCAGACCTGCAGCCTGCCTCTCTTGACCTTACCTTACCTCACTACTCCATCCACCCTCGACCGACCGCACCTCTTCAACCACGGCGATTGTCCCACAACATCCAAGCAAATCGTCAATCCACATACCACCACACATATCTCCGATAATCCGTCCCTCAATCAGTCAGTCACCATGGCTTCAGGATACGACAGAGCGTTGTCCGGTAAGGGCCCCCTCCTTGTTGCCCCCCAGCTCCACTGTACCAAGCTAACATGCACCTGCAAACAGTCTTCAGGTTCGTCACGGTTGCCCCTGCCCCGGAAACAATTCATGATCCCCAACTGACACCGTCAGTCCTGATGGACACGTTTTCCAGGTCGAGTACGCTGGCGAAGCTGTCAAGAGAGGTAATGCCGCTTGCCCGCCGCAATCAAGGGCGGAACCAGCTAATCGTCGGCATAGGAACGTGTGCGGTCGGCGTCAAGGGTACAGATGTCGTCGTCCTCGGATGCGAAAAGCGATCAGCCATGAAGCTGCAAGATACCCGAATTACCCCCTCCAAGATTCAGCTCCTCGACACCCACGTCTGCCTGGCATTCGCCGGATTGAACGCCGATGCTCGTATCCTCGTCGACAAGGCGCGGTTAGAGGCACAGTCCCACAGACTGACCGTCGAAGACCCCGCCTCCATCGAGTACATGACCAAGTACGTTGCTGGTGTCCAGCAACGGTACACACAGAGTGGTGGTGTCCGTCCCTTTGGTATCAGCACCTTGATTGTCGGGTTCGACAGCGGCAGCAAGGTCCCCCGCCTTTACCAGACCGAGCCCTCTGGCATCTTCTCCGCATGGTACGAGCGACTACTCCATACTATGCGATGCGGTGCATCTGCTAACACCTTGCAGGAAAGCCAACGCCATCGGCCGTTCCAGCAAGACCGTTCGCGAGTTCCTCGAGCGCAACTACAAGGAGGATATGGACAGAGAGGCTACCATCCGACTCGCCATCAAGTCTCTTCTCGAGGTTGTCCAGACCGGAGCCAAGAACATTGAAATCGCGTTGATGGCACCGGGCAAGACGATTGAGATGCTGCCCGTGGAGGAGATTGAGAACCACGTCAAGAGCATCGAGCAAGAGAAGCAAGAGGAGGCGGCCAAGAAGAAGACTGGACGCACACCCGGCACCGGAAGCGCGGCGATCCTCACGAGAGGCTCGGGCTCGGGTGACGGTGATGAGTAAGGAAATGACTAGGCGTTGCGGTTCGCGGATAGACGACACTCATGAGGGTATCTGACCAAATACCAATGTATTACCACCTTTAGACCGTGGAAAATCTACAAAAACGGTGTCCATAAAATCGCTTGCTGCCACACTGATGCTCGTAAACCAGCTAAAATCCCCTCACAGTTTAGCCCAGCTTGTCCGCATCGTCTGTTGGGTCGAATATTGAGCGTCCGGCGATTTGGCGGACACGCTCGTCCTTGATCATGCGGCTGTCCTTGCGCGCGTCTTCGCCCTCAACGGAGATGGCTGCCTTGGGTGTCTTTGCCTCAATGACGAAGTGGTTGTCGCAGTGCGGGCAGTATTCGTCGGCATCTTCGAATTCCTGGGCGTCTTTGCGGAAGCACTTTTTGCACTTCTTGCAAGCAAAGACCATTTCAAGGCTCTGGAGCAGGGGGTGCTTTTCCTGCTCATGGTGACACTCGGCGCAGTCGAACCATTTTTTGCCTAGGAAGGCAATCAAATTAGTCGGGTGTAGCTTAGGTTAGGGGCAGAGGGGGTTCGACGCACAGCAGGGTGACCTGATTGCGACTTGCGCGTTGAGAATGTGTTTGCTGTGGTGATATGTTAGCTTGTCGGTCAGGGGTTGTGGGTTCTCGTTTGGCTCACCACATAGCGGGCTGTCTTCGCGGTATAAAGCAATAGATCGCGTTGTGGTTACAGATGCGTCGCGGTCGACTGGTCAAATCGAATGTGTCGCGGTTATGAGTTGGCAAGACGAGGCAATGGGGAGAATCTTCTATCAAAGATTTGGCGGTGCTGATAAATTTGGCGGGGTCTGGATTTATCGCCCAAGTCTTCCCTCCCGGTACCTACCTTACTTACCTACACCTTGCACCCCGCGAAGTCGCTCTGTAGTGGTCTCCACTTAAGGTGCCGGCCAGTGACAAAGGGTGCCACCCCTGTAGGCCGTACCCTTTGCCTGCGAAACCTTAGGTACCACTTTAACGCCGACGCTTAGAGTTGCTTACCTTTCTCCGATGCGTGCCTGCAGGCTACATCATCCATCCATCCATTTCCTAGGTTTTTTGATTTGCCCACCATCCATCTCCTATCTCCCCCCCCCCAACAACCCGCAATCCTGTCACGATGCCACCGAAGAGGAAGGCTCAAGGGGCCGCCACCGGCAGCTTCAAGGCAGGAAAGGGCTCTGTAGCTTCAACTCCTGGGGGCGCCACCCCCAGGAGTATCGCCAGCGATAATGAATCGGTAGCGGATCCCGTGAGCGAGTCGGAAGACGAGAATCTCGAGAAGAACGTCGACAAGTTCTCCGTCGAGGCGTACCTGGACAGGCCCAAGACGAACGGCCATGAATCCATGACTGGACTATTCAAGAAGAAGCGCGACTTCTCCTTCCTCCAGCTGAAACCCGATTATCAGAATCGCCCGCTCTGGATCGACCCTGCCAAAGGCCGTATTTTCCTCGAAAGCTTCAACCCGCTGGCCGAGCAAGCACAGGACTTCCTCATCACCATTGCCGAACCAATTTCCCGACCGTCCTTCGTTCACGAATATGCGCTCACGACACACAGCTTGTACGCTGCGGTCTCTGTGGGCTTGTCACCCCAGGATATCATCAACACTCTCGATCGGTTTCTGAAGATGCCTTTGCCCGACAGCATTCGCAAGTTCATTGAGGGCTGCACGCAAAGTTTCGGCAAAGTCAAGCTGGTGCTTAAGAATACGAAATACTTCGTCGAGAGTACGGATCCGGTCATCCTGCAGAAGCTGCTGAAAGACTCCGTCATCGGACCGCTGCGAGTACACGGTACGGAGGAGATTACCACAATAGCGGCTCCGAAACAGGGCCCTCTGGTCATTCCAGGCACTGCCAATGCTGCTGGTGTGCGACAGGCAGAAGAACAAAAGGCCAAGGGACGCGAGGGTGAGGTGAAGGAGGGCGAGGTCTACGCGGCACTGAACGATGACGACGATGACGATCAGGAGATCACGCATGCCTTTGAGATCGGGGACGAGGCAGTCGAGACCGTTCAGAAGAGGTGTCTTGAACTGGAGTATCCGGTGTTGGAGGAGTACGATTTCCGACGAGATGAGGCCAACCCGAACCTGGAGATCGACTTGCGCCCGGGCACCTTGATTCGACCCTACCAAGAAAAGAGTCTGAGCAAGATGTTTGGTAATGGACGAGCCAAGAGCGGTCTGATCGTCCTTCCTTGCGGTGCTGGAAAAACGCTTGTCGGTATCACCGCAGCTTGCACCGTCAAGAAGGGCGTCATCGTCCTCTGCACCAGTTCCATGTCTGTCGTGCAATGGCGAAATGAATTCCTCAAGTGGTCCAACATTAAGCCAGAGGATATCGAAGCATTCACGTCAGACAACAAGGGCAGAATCTTCCCGGGTAACACCGGTATCATTGTGACCACATACTCCATGGTGACGCAAACCAGGGAGCGTTCTCACGAGGCCAAGAAGATGATGGACTTTTTGCAGACGCGAGAATGGGGTCTGATGCTTCTGGACGAGGTCCACGTTGTCCCCGCCAATATCTTCAGAAAGGTCACCTCGTCCATCAAGACGCATTCGAAGCTTGGCTTGACCGCCACACTGCTTCGTGAAGATGACAAGATCTCAGATCTGAACTTTTTGATTGGCCCCAAGTTATACGAGGCGAACTGGATGGAACTCAGCGAACAAGGCCACATTGCCAAGGTTCAATGCGCTGAGGTCTGGTGCCCCATGACTACGGAATTCTACGATGAGTACTTGAAGGCGTCGGCCAGAAAACGTGCGCTGCTGTACATCATGAACCCGAGAAAGTTTCAAGCCGCTCAGTACCTCATCAACTACCACGAGTCTCGAGGCGACAAGATCATTGTCTTTTCGGACAACGTCTACGCTTTGAAGACATATGCTGAGAAGCTGGAGAAGGCTTACATTTTCGGCGGCACTGGACAGGCAGAGCGCATGAACATTCTGCAAAACTTCCAGCATAACCCTCAAGTCAATACATTATTCTTGTCAAAGATTGGTGACACATCCCTCGATCTTCCCGAGGCTACCTGTCTCATTCAGATCTCGTCACATTACGGTTCTCGTCGTCAAGAGGCGCAGCGACTCGGCCGTATCTTGCGAGCCAAGAGGAGAAACGACGAGGGTTTCAATGCCTTCTTCTATTCCCTGGTGTCGAAGGATACCCAGGAGATGTACTACTCCTCCAAGAGACAGGCGTTCCTGGTCGACCAGGGTTACGCCTTCAAGGTCATCACGCAGCTCGCCAACATCGAGAAGACACCTGGCCTAGCCTACGCCGCGGCGAGCGAGAGACGAGAGCTCTTGCAAAAGGTCCTCATCGAAAACGAGGCCGGCGGCGAAGACGAGGTCATTGACGACCTGTTCCACAGCGGCACGATGGGCCGCGCGCCGGCCAGGGGCAGGAAGAAGGCCGCCGCGAGGAGGACGGCTGGTCTGCTGGGCGACCTGTCGGGTGGACAGGACATGGCCTACATGGAGCAAAACAAGAGGGTCAAACTCAAGAAGGCAAAGGGAGAGAGCAGTGCCTTCTTCAAGAAGATCCAGAGAGAGAAGGCCAAGCGATAGATTGCAATCACGAACAGGTTTACGGCGTCTGTGGGTGGGGAATTTAGGGAAAGGCAAACGGTGAATTTGAAGCCGCTTCACTGTATTATAGATCATACACAAACACGCCGTGGAGGCGTAAGACTGGATGCGGTGGGAAAGATCAGATAAATCTGCACATGATACGATATTATTCGATAACAAGTCAAAGGCCCAAGCTGTTGTGCCAAGCCCATGCAAATATGGTCAGTATCATCTCTAGGAATACGCAGACAATATCCAACAAGGGATAATCGTCCATGCCATTAGGCTATAATCTACTTTCAACTCGTCCGGTCTCCCCAACAAGAAAGGGATTTTTTTTTTCGTGGGCTTCACTTCTCCCTTTTCCCCTGTTCCAGGTTCACGAAGGAGTTGATTCTGGCAAAGGCAAACAAAAACCAAGAAGAAGAAAAAGAGAACAAACGCGGCAAAATCGTGGTTGCGACTGTCGGAAAACGGCTCGTAAAACAAGATTGGACTTTTGGATTCCATGGGTGCATAGCTATTTTTGGTGAGCGTCATTCCCGGGGTATCTTAACGATATCAATCGATCAAAGTCGTATTTAGTTACGGCTGTAATGAGAATTCAAGAAAAGGTCAAAAAAGTGAGTACGAGTAGAGCGAATACTCGAGTCGCCCGTATGCCACCCCCTTTCTCCCGTTTGTAGTCGAAGACCGGGGGTAGGACGCGCAACAACATCAACACGTTGTTTGGCTTTTCTTCGAGGCCCATCTATGCGGCCGGATAGGATCTTTCGGTCAGAACCTACCAAGCCCTTCACGTGGGCCGCATGGGCGAATGAATCAGAAGCAAATGTGTGTGGTCTTGGCAGACAGCGGGTTGAGTCGGACTGCTGCATCTACCATCATCTTGCGTTGCCTATCTGGCAGATCTGGGCATTGTTCCGCGCGGCTGGGGTATTCGTACTGGAGGCCCGAAGGAATACTTGGCGTCCGGGTTGGGAGATGAGCGTCCCATGTACCCGTACCGTTGCCATCTCACAAATCGCATGCAGGACTCGCTACGCCGGAAGAGGTGTACAGCAGTAATGGCGGCATGGCGGTGAACAAGCAGAGGAAGGCGGTGGTGGAATATGCTGGCGACGACGTCGTGTTGAGGTGGTGAGAGTGAGAAATGACCTGTGTCACGGAGAGTGCTTGGCAAATGGCAGTGGTTATCGGCTCTCTACTCGGCGGATGGTGTGCTAGGTCTGGACTCCGTCGATGCGACGGACGGAAGAAGCGACCGGCAGTCCGCGGGCTAGGGTTGTGATAGACAGTGAGAATGTCAGAAATGCCGTATTGGAGGCGCATTGCCCTTCCGCGAGTTCCTTATCGGCAAAGGATAAGCCAGTGTGGTTGAGCTGGTGATCAACTGT